TAAAGGAGGAGCAATGTCAGTTGTAGACAAAGGAGCTGAATAGGCCTGTTGCTGAAGCAACAAATCAAAACGTCTCACCAGATCTTGAACGCCTCTTTCGAGAGATTGTACCGAGTTCTCCAGGGACGAGATCTTCGAAAGTCCAGCAGCTACCTTATCTGGATCGAGTCGCTGAAACTCATTACGTAAGCCATCCATCTCCAAACGAAATCCAGAATGCAGAGAAGACTGGCATTCTTCGAAACCCTCCACCTGCGATGCCACTTCCTTAGCTGTCACCATGGCCGAGGAAATACGTGCTCTGATACCACTGGTATGACCCAGAAATTTGACACGCAGTTCACAGACTTACAGCAGAGTTCGCACACTCGAACATCAACAAAAGAGACTAGTATTCATTCAGCAGAAAACATTAACAGTTGGTCGGTTCTTCGAGAGACCGCCGGCTCTCCCAAACACTCACAATATTCTTTACTCAAAAAAAAAAAACATGTCGCCTCCCATCCCCCAAAGCCCCTTCTTATACTCTTCTGATAGCATAACTGACTCCCTCTATAAATGCCCAGCTGGCCTAGTTATAAATGCCCAAAAACTCTTCTTATTCATAACTGACATAGCTATAAATGCTCCAAGACTCTTCCTATTCCCTTCTGACCTCCTCCATAAATGCCCCATGTCTAATCATGCTGCCTTTTCTTTCTCCTAGCATACGTAAGGTTAACTGGGGGCCTATCAGGAGCAAAGAGAAAATTGCTTAAGAAATCAGCAACAAGATCCTGGATTGGGTTCTACCTTTACCTGAACTTTTAGGGATTTCTAAAGAAGAATTTGGGGTGGGATTTTGGTCAATCACAGAACTGGATGGTGGTGGGAGTTGATTTGTATTCTGTTTGGTTTGTGTTGGTTTTTCCTTTCCTTCTGGGTGATCTCTCATTACCATGCCTGACTGTAAGATCTTTTTTCCTTAAAATCATGCAACAATTCTTGAAAAATTAGGAACCATATGCTTGTTAGTTCCCAAGGGAAAACCACTAAATGAAGCATTTTGTTGAAAAGATTAAAGATATATATTTGTGTGCTTGTTTACCTCCAAATTTATTAATTGGCACATGCCATCCTTATTTTGGGATGTAGATTTTGTGCTGATGGTAAATTAGGTGCTTTACTTTTCTTGTGAATCACATGTTGCATCTTAGGGTCAAGGTCAACAAGATTTATTCTTTTGCTTCTTTCAAGTTTCAGGGATTGATTCATGTGATGTCTGTAAAAATTTGTTTTCTGTATTTCTTATCTCTTATATGTTTCTTTTTTGGTATTAGGTTTATGGCATCCATATGAATGGCTATGTCAATAAGGATGGAAATAAGTTTCTGTGGATAGGAAAGAGAAGTGAAGTGAAGCCAACTTTTCCCGGGATGCTTGACCATCTTGTTGCTGGTGGACTGGTCTGGAAAAAAATTATTTTGATTTTTTCATGTTACCAGGACTAGTTCACTCCCACTTATTATATTGTAATCAAAATTTTTATTGTTGTTTTCATTGTGCTACACTTACTATTTGTGTAACTTTAATAAATATAGAAACTTCCTATAGTATTTGTGGTTAGAGTGGAGAAATACGATGCAAACATTGCTTTTGAGTGGAGATAGATATGGTCTTACTGGTTTCACCAAGATTAGGACCCAAGGGATCTCTCTGTTAATCTGTTTCCAACACATTGGGGGGTGCGCTATAGAAGTTTGAGATTGATTTTGATTAGTTTTTTTGGGCCAAGTTAGGGCCAGTCTGATGGAACTCATGATTGAGGAGGCAGAAGGCAGGATCAGATGTCTATAACAAGCCTCACCACTCCTTACATTGAAACACTTGAACCTGCAACTTTATTTGTCTTTTGGTTGTAATGCCTAGTTACTCATTATAGAGAAGGTAAATTGCAGGAGCATTTATAATACTCACAAGGTCCACCAGTTTCTCCATGGAACACTTAAATCTGCTACTTACTGAATGGAGAGGAAGAAAGTCCTTATCCAGAGAATCCCGTGGTCTGGAACCTGAATGTGTAGATCTCTGAAGAAACAAATAGTCATTTGCAAGGTTAGATTTGTGTTTTTCCATCTTGTTAGAGTACACAAAACAGGGGTATTTTGATCATTTGGGTTTATCTATTTGAGAGTGAAAGGTCTGTTTTGTTTAAGTTTAAGTTATGTGTCCCATCACTTATGAGGGACAATATGGTCTTTCTTGTAACTATGTTATTGGAGATAAATACAAGTGGGTCAACTAGAGAGAGGACTGATTTTCCTTTACTGGCCAAACCCTTCTTCTTCTTCTCCTCCTCTTCTTCTTCTTCTTCTTCTTCTCCTTCTTCTCTACTGTAACCTAGGACTAAATAAGGTTTTCACATGGTATCAGAGCCTTGAGAGAAGGATGACCAAGTCTGCAGTGCCATTGAAGAGGAGTAAGAGATGATTGAAAAGGTACTGGAGGGCCACCACCATCAAGGTAATACAATCCACCTGCCTCATGCCCTCCACCAATCTTCATCCCCGTCTTGAGATCCTGAAACACACAAGAAGAGGGACAAAAGGTTATGGAACAATTAAGTGACTTGGTTAATCTACTAACGGACATAAGGTTAAAGGGGAACTTGGGGACATATAAAACAGATGATAAAGACAAGGAGAGATCAACATCACCAACACCACAGATGGGAGATGTAGAACCATTAGCAAGAGTAACTGTTTGAGATGCGGAGGACCGAGAAAGATAAGAAAATACATTAGGAGTCCCAGACATATGGTCCGAGGCTCCAGAGTCAATGATCCAGTGTGAAGGCTTGGAAGCCAAGCAAGCCATACCTGAATAGGCAAGGGTAGCTGTGTTCTGCTGAGAAGATGTCTGAAGGAACTGCTCATATATTGCATAGGGTACACTCACCATCTCCTTCCCAGAAACACCAGTAGATGTGGAGGGGATTGGGTCAATTTGCTGACTTTCAGTAGCTGTACCACTACCCTTAGTCACAGCATGGTTAGCCCAAGTGTTGGGTGGACCATGTAA